TTTTCTTCTTGTAGTCGAAGTCCAGACGGCGGCCTTCCAGCTTCTTGAGGTGGTGCTGCGGGCGGGCGGGCGACGGCGTCACGGGCCGCCCCTCCTCGGTGCCACCGCCCGGGGGTGGGGACAAAGGCCGCCCGCCTGGCAGCACGGTACCTGGATCTCCTTCAGGTCTTTGTCGCACAGGTTCTGCAGCGGGTCGATGAAGTTCTGCTTGACCTCGATGTCCAGGGAGTCCTTCACCTCGGCCAGGCGCTTCATGGACTCTCCCGCGTCCAGCAGGGCGTCGCCTGCGGGCAGTGGGGTGCTGTCACAAGGCCTTGGCCTCCCCAGCCTCTGAATGGCCACACCCCCAGGACCAGGCAAAGGTCTGGACCCGGGCACTGGGAGTGAGCCGGAGGGGCTGAGAACACGGCTCCCGGTCAGGGCGGCCAGGAGCTGGCAGATGGGAGGACATTAAACCCGCTGCTCCCACAGGCCCCTCCCCACTCTTACAAGGGGCCCCGCCCGTCCACTCCCAGCAGCGGGCGCTCACCGAAGTTGGACTCTCCGCCGAGCTCCTTCCCGTGCCGGGTCATGCACTCGCCCAGCAGGCCCTCGGGCTGAGGGTAGCCGGGGCTCTTCACCTGGCCCCGGATCTTGGACACCGTGTTCAGCATCGTCAGCTTGGCCCGCGAGGCTGCAAAGGGTGGTGATGGCTGCTCTCACCCTCTGCACGGGGACGCGGCCACCCTGCTGCGCCCGTGCTCGGTGACAGGTCCAGAGGCCCCTTCCCGAGACCTGCCCCCCCACCTGGGGAGAGACCGCGAGGCCCGGCCCACCCACCAGGGGCAGTGCCAGGCAGGTCCCCGGCTACGGCACAGGCCTCCGACAGAGGCTGCTGGCCTTGCTACCAGAGCGTGTGGGAAGCAGCATTCGGGGTTCCTGGGGAAGGACCCTGGGAGCCAGCGTCAGCCGGGAAGACGGCCTCTGCTGCTGGGAGAGGAGGCTAGGGCTGCCACGGGGACGAGCCGACCCGGGGAAGGTCGGCCCGCGGGGAGCTGAGCCGCCAGCGAAGTGGAAGGCCTTGGGCTCCTGGATCCAGCCATGCCTGGTGCCCACCTACCCGTGGGCACTGCGGTCTGTCAGTCCATGTGCTCCCTCTTTACACTCTGGTAACCAGGTGTCCCTGGCGCCGGCAGGTGCCCCTACCTGGGTTAGGCTGCAGGTACTCGGTGGTCCTGGCCAGCACCTCCGTCACGGCCTTGCTGGTGATGTCCACCTTCTGTGGAGGGGAGAGGGTCAGTGTGTGGGGCTCGCCGCTGCGGGGCGCCCCCGCCTGCCCAGAGCCCCGCCTTACCTTCTCCATCTCCTTGAAGTCATCGTCCAGCTTGGTCCCCTCAGCCCCGCCGACCTTCTCGCTGACCAGCTGGAGGACAGAAGAGGGAGAGTGCTTGGACCAGCAGTTGGCGTAATGGCTGTGTCGCTGGACTCCCATGTAGTCACTGCGGTTCGAGTCCCAGACCCGGTGGCTTAAACTCACGGCAGGCACGTGTGCGTGCGTGCCCAAGATCCCAAGAGGAGAATGGAGGAGAAGGGATTGCGGCGT